GCACCAGCAAATTTTGTGAGCACACTGGCAGTGCACTTCGCCTCAAGTAGCTGCATGCACAATATCACAGCATACGCTACAAGAAGTGAAGCCATCAAATGCACCCTCCAATGTGGCATCCACCCAGTGATCATCGTACTTATCAATCTTAAGTAAGAAGGTGTGTTTTTATTTTAAATTTTTTTACATTTAGCGGTATTTTAAACTAAATGTTGTTGTTTTCCAATTTACAAAATGGGCTTAGGGTATGAGCTTTGGACAGTGTCGTTTTTAGCCATCATGCAAAGCTTAAATTTTTTATTCGAATTTCTGCTTCCTTGATTTGGCGTTGCTATCTTGGAGGAAGATCATTCTGCACATGTTTTATGTTTTGAGTCCAAAATTTCAAAATTTTAGTTATCTTGAAAAGTTTGTCAATGTTTGCATAGAGATTGCGCACATTTTCCACATTTTCCAGTTCTGTAATTCGATGTCTTTTGTCAGGCGCACGGAGCCGCCTACTTTTATAAGATAAGAAAGATCAGTCGCTGATTTAGACGAAAATCATTCCTGCCTTCCTACGTATAATTTACTGGCAAAAAAATACCTTTAAGATATTTTGTTTAAAGCTATTAAATCAAGTATCATTGCATGTGGCATTGCTTTTCTCCTCTTTCCCTTCCAAGGTTAAAACAATTTGTTCACGCAGTAAGCTCTATTCGGACTTTTCTATTCGAAAATATTATTGCCATAATATGAATGTCATGATATATGAAAGAAGCCGTTCGAAGTGCGTGACAAACGCATGTTTACTGTCGCCTTACAAAGTACCACCTGAATAAACCAGCACGAGTTATAATAAATTCTGCCTTCATGTCTGTGTGCATGCGAAAACCAGAGGCAACGCTAATAAAGCATAAAAGTCAAGACACACTAAAGTGTTTATTTGATGTTAAAGTATAGGTTCTTATTCCTGATTTAGGTGAAAGGTTTTCAAATGATGAGGAGTTAAGTAGGTTGTTTTGTCCTACTAATATTTTATAACGAGAATTTGGTTTTGAGGGGTGGCTGTTTCTGCCTTCCGCACAGGTAAATGGCCATTTTGAAATAGTCGGCAGCATGAAGCCCCTTTCATTCTGTTGGTAATAACCAGCACAAAGTTGCCTATCTATAACCGTTACTTATTTTTGTCGAATGTTTGTTCCCGTCTTCCTTAAACTATTAGCATTTATATTCTCAGTAGTAACAAGGGGGACCTTAGAAAGGGAACAATTTCCCTTTGTGCTTGAAAGGAAACTTAATTAATAGGTTTGATAGATCAAAAGATGCAGTTCCGCATTGTTGGTGTGACTAAGAGTCTAAAATTCAAGACGGTTTTGTAGTGGTCTTTTCTGCGCACGTCGATAGATTCTAGTCTTGCTGGATGATGCTTCCAAGTCTGTCGGTCGGCTCGTGATCCTATCCGTAAAAGGTTACGACCAAATCAAAGCGACACAGTCTCCTGTGGTGCCTCATACTTAAATACCCTCTACGGAGGTGCATGAGTAATGCAAAGAGCTAAGTGTGTCAGCAAAACCCATTCCTTTATGTTCCATTTGATGAAATTAAGCTTCGCCTTGAGCAGCCACACTGCTCTCAATCGCCAGGGATAGAGACTGTTTCAGTTCTGCTACTACTGTCGACTGTACGTAAATGGAAGAACCCGAACCCACCATGAGCTGGCATGATTTTCATCTATGTAGCGGATTGCGAACCTCTCTTCAGTATCCACATGCGTGCCTGAAAGACATAAGTTATTTGTGGCGGATTCTAATTCCAGTCTTAAAATACTTTCCTGTCAAAATTGAAAATGTGATTATGGATTCGATGCTATGTGCTCACCAGTCTGCATTGGAATGATTAGCAGTTAGTTGTACGACGAGGAGGACCACCTTTACGCAAACTGGAGAATGAGGTAGCAATGTGTGCAACCATAAATTGGTAGCTAAAAACGCTAAGACGCTTTTGCATTTCACACTCAATGCAATGACAGGTACTTTGAAGCACAGAGGTAAGCTCAATCAAAATGACTCCCGACAAATGCCGATTACCTTACTCGTGACTTTGTAAGAGTTAGGAAGCACTATGAATTAACTATGGTGTCAAAACAGGCGGATTGCCATTTTTTATACTAAAGACGTGCAAATTAATTCCCGCCTTGGCATCAGTGACAAGCACATTTCTACGTAAACAGGATTGTGCTTGCCTAAATTTAAATCTTTTGAAAGTAGAAAACATTCTTCCCATATTTTCGCCACCAAATGACCATATAAGTGTGTTTTAGAAGCCACTTTCCACTGCTATGACTCATTTCGGAAATCAAAAATAATGGCAAGAATGCATTTGACCGTAGTCACTTTCAAATGTGCGCCATTCGGCCATTTTCACGGGATATTAGCCTAAACTGTGGGTGAAGGAATTCCATTACCCATAAAATTAACATTAAGCTTGAATAATATTGAAACCCATTTATACGACGATAAGAACGCGATGTTTTAGAGTGGCGCCGCAAGAATCTCGGATAATGCTACTTGAGAAACTCACACCAGGATTTTCATTGCTAATAGTGAATTGCCAAATGTTTATTTCAGCTAATTGGTCTTGTCAGCTGCTCAAATTCAGAGTCATATCTGTAAGGCTTCGACTAACTTTACGACTGGTTGCCACATCAACATCCATCCTGCTCTGGACGGGTTTTCGGGTCAAGCCGAGTCCCAACTTTCTCCCCTTTTCCCTGAATGCAGGCATCCAATTCTACCCGATGCTTTATTCTGCCTAAGAGAAGTCTGGAGACGTCATAGTATCGCCTGGAATTATTGCCTAAGCTTGTCAAAATGCGCGTCATATCCAACCGCCCAGCGCAAATCATAGTAAAGTAATTCCCCTCTTATCCCAGTAACGCAAATTCCCATTTTAATACGTTTGGCAAGGGAGCGTCCAACTCCACTTGGCTTAGATTTGTCAAATTTTCTAGACGTCTTCATCAATTACCCTTGCTGAGTTCAATGGCACTTGTAAGGATCCCCAAAAGCAGCAATTTATCATCTCAAACATGGCATTCTTAAGTTAACTGTGCAACAAGAACGCAACATTTTTAGCCATTGCCCACCTCCTGATTATTTGCACAAAATTGTTAGTTCTCACCTTCCTCCTGTTTACATGTCTGGTGTTGCCTTTGGTTCGCTCAAACGAAACTCATTGTATTTGTTGGGTTTCTTCTTCGTCAAGAATTTATTAAAAAATCGTCAAATGGAATATTGAAAAAAATTGGTTGTCTAAGCCTTCAATGTGTTCCGTTGAATAGCTGCTATCTGTACCTAAATGCTGCATTACTTGTTTTTTTTTCGAATACTCCTTAATTAGCTAAACCGAAAAAAGGATGTTAAATGCTTATCACTTATTAAAAGATACACGCTTTATGCCTTCTGGACTGCTTCAAAACAAGGAGAAGGCTCCTATTTGCTGCATCAAGATTAAGAGATAATTTTAAAATATAGGAGGAGAAGGAAGAGGCGACAAATTATTTGACAATAACAACAAAACCATGTCGAAATCCGCACACCTGGTGCCATATTTCTTCCCCTCTCATCTCCCCTCGCCTTTGTCCGAACCTCTGAAATGCCTGACCGCCTGTTCGCGGTAATCAGGGCGAAGACTGACTACCGCCCTATACCGCACCGCAACACACCGCAAGCAACAAACGAAGTAACTAACACGGGTCCACTGACACGACCATTAGCACCCCATTGCGCGTGCAAAGTAGGCGCAGTTGGGAATGGGGCTTCAACACTTCCTCTCCCCGCATCGATCTGCCACACATACACAATCCTCTCTTACAAAACCAAACTCGCTAATACATGCGCTGTCGACAAGACGTCACCTGAATATTTGATTCACGGGATCATCTAAGGTGAATAAGGTCCAATGTCTGTACATTCTTCTGCCCCCATCAATCGTAAAATGTTCCCGTTAAAAGGAGTTAAATAGGAAAGGCATTTCGGTGTTCCACTTTACACTCTCCATGCATTCAGCGTTTCCTTTCGCCTCTATTTAACTTGCATGGTTTAGGACAACCTTATTTATGTCATGAATTTATCAATTATCTAAACGTATGAAGAAAAATTTTATTTGTTTGCTAACTTGAAAACCTCACAAGGATTTCCTTCTAAAAAACAGGTGGAAGAATTTCTAACAAATGACTTACCAGCGTTGTATCCTTCTGCACCTTTGGTTGTTAGTGGATTGCCTAACACTCCGTTCACAATCATTCGCGTACTGAAGGTCCTCCGATGACGGAAGTATACGTACACCATGATGGCCAGGAGAATGGCAACTGCAAAGACGGCGGCAACGATGATCGCCAGGGTCTTATTGGGAATGCCACCCGTCTCTCCCCCCCAATCACTTAACCATTCACCACCGGGGTACGCACCACCTCTGCCTGCTCCCTTGGGAAGTCCCTCTGTTCCGAACCGATTGTGGATAAGAAAGGAGTCTGTATAGGTTCCCGACAGTGCCTTGGTTCCGCGCAGTATTCTCACAGTGACTGTAGAATTAAGGCTATTTGGTGTACCTAAATCGTAGGCCCTAACTTGGAAAGTGTAGAGATTTGCTCCATCAGTGCCTAGTGGGGGAAGGTTTTGTTTGAGGTAGCAGACTCCTGCAGTTTGGTCAACTGCAAATGGGAAATTTTTTAGAAGTCTTGCTGAGTTTAATTCTGATGAATTATCGAACACACTTTCAGGGAGCACCAATTCATATTCAACGGTGGCATTCTCTCCTTGATCGCTGTCACTTCCTTCAATAGTGAAGATGGTTGTGCCAGCGACCATTTGATCTGGACTGAGCATAAATTCAGCAAGATTTCGAGGAGACAGAATCTGAGGTGGATTGTCGTTTTGATCCAGAACCATCACCAATACCGTTGCGGTCGCTGTAAACCGAACTGCTGAATGGCTTGCAGGTACTTCACCGCTTATTGGGACGTTGTCTACAGCGAGTACAAGGAATTCATAGTGGACCCTTTTTTCTCTGTCTAGATGACCTCTGAGTCGGATTATTCCCATACGCGGATCTATTTGAAAGAGGCTTGTGATCAGTGCATTGGCGCTTTGTCTACTCGCGGGATGTGTACCACCGGTATTCTGCACATCTTCTGCCGCTAAGCTGTATCTAACTCGACCGAAATCGCCCATGTCCGCGTCGGTCGCTTTGACTCTTCCCACCTCGGCCAATTCAACATTTTCTTCCACCTCAAAATTGTAATTGGCCGATTCAAATTCTGGTTGACAGTCGTTCATATCGGTCACGATTATTCTCACCTCAGCAGTGCTCGATAATCGCCCATAGGCTGTGCGATTGCACTCCGCTTGATCTGTGGCTATTACGGTGAAAACAAATTGCTTGGTCTTCTCACGATCGAAGGGGCTAATGAGGTAAAGACTACCATTTTCTGCATCAATTTCCACAACGCCCTTTGTATTTGGTGAGAGGGTATACTCTATTTTGGCATTTTGTAAGGTGTCACGATCAGTGGCAAGAACCTTCCCGATAAAGTGTCCACCCTTCCCAAGGGAGAACTGACGACTCCCATTTGAAGGGACATTTTCCACCACTCTAAAAGTATAAGAACTAGAGGAGAATTGGGGAGGATTGTCATTGATATCTTCAATATTGATGCAAACGTCTGCACGTGACGTTAACCTCTTCGAATTTGAATCCACATCCTGATTGTCTATGCAAGTAATCTGAACCGAAATGGTGCTACCACTGGCACCTTCTCGGTCTACAGGGTTATTCGACATCAGTTTGTACATCAGCATAGCTTGATTGCCCTTCATGCCTTGGCTATTTGTCCCTAGACTTGGCCACCCTGCACTACCCATTGTAGAAATAGGCTCCAATGAGAAGAGGGAATCATTCACAGTACAAGCAACTTCTGTGTTGATGGAGGCTGCGTCGTTGTCAACAACCGTGACTTGCGCTATCATCGAACGGCCTTGACCCTCGAGCAGAGTACCACAGGAACTCTTTCTACCTTGCTGATGCTGTTGTGGAATAGTTGAAATGTAGTCAACAAAGATCTCTGGTGCTTCATCGTTCACATCAACAATTTCAACATAGACAGGAACTTGGGAGGACAGTGACGGCTTACCAAAATCGTAAGCCTCTACAACAAATCTCAGGAGATAAGAGCGAACATTTAGGGGGCGATATCTTAGTCTTGGTTGAGACGTGTCGAGACTGGAGGTCTGTAACTTTTTAGCCGCTTCCAATGCTTGTTTAGCAGCCTGTCGAAGTTGATTTTCGGACTTCCTTTGAACTATTAACTGACCTGTAGTGGCGTTTCTTCGATGGGTGCTTGAAGAATCTGGGTTGTAATCATATGATTTGACAAGTTCAATCTCAAAAAAGTTAGCTGCCGCTGTTTGAGCCTCTGAGTAGGGGAGATTTTTCGAGTGCTCGTCTTTACCGGGAATTCTAAAATTTATTCTATGATTTTCGTATTTCCAGTCACCATCAATGGCTTGTAATTGAAGGATAACATGACCAGGAAGCTCATCTTCTGACACAACTCCATTGTACTGCGTCTGGGTAAAGGTAGGAACGTGGTCGTTTACATCTTCAACTATCAAACGTATTGGTAGTCTCCCAGATCTCGGCGGCATTCCGCCATCTACTGCCACTAACACAAAGCGATACTCCTTTCTCTGTTCGTAGTCCAAGCCCGAGAAAGACTCTCCTGACGTTCCAGAGGGAATAAGCCACAAACGTTTGGCCGAAGTTAGGACAAGTTCTCGAGGGTCAGCTTCAACAGCTATTCCTCCGTCCTCCCCTCGACCAATTTCCAAGTAGAACAGGTAGGCGTCCTCTCCTTCTAGTCTATAGTGACGAACGCCGTTTTCTGGGGCGTCCAGATCAACTGCTTCTGGCAAGGGAATCCTCACCTTAGTAGGGCTTGATTTGCTCCCATAGGGCGATACTGATTGTAGATGTGTGCCAGGCGTTTCCAACACTCGAATTACATGTAGTGCTTCATCCTCGGCAAATTTTGGTGCGTGATCATTTAGATCATCGAGGACGACGTTGAGGCTATCAAACGAGGGCTCACTAGGAGATCCAAAGACAATGGTTAGGTGGATCACACAGGGTTGGTTGAAACTGTTAGGATGGGAGCTAGATGCCTCGCCTCCCAAGTAAATGTCGCGTCGATCACCAGGTCTTCCCACACTAGCAAGATCCAGACTACTATGAGGATTTGTGGGACAAAGCGCATCTCGGTCGGGTGGTGATGCGACCACCAGACTTCCGCGCATTTGGTCAATTTTGAAAGAGGAAGCGCCAGGTAGAGCCGCATTGCTGATAGCTAGCAGGCTGCTACCGCCGTTGCTGCCACCCTCGTTGTGATTGAGTGCTCCTAGAAGTTGACGTAGATCGTTGACGACAACCGTTCCTTCTGGAGACTTCTCCATGATGTGAAAAGTCTTTGAGGCTTGATTTAGGTGAGATGCCAGAAGGGGGATGCACCAATGGCTGCACAGGAGGCACAATAATGAAATAGTATGTGGTACCATCCCCTTGAGATCTGCCCTAAAAATGTTAATTAGTGCAGAAATGGAGTTAATTTGTCGTAGGTAAAAGGAAATAAGTAAATGGAATAAAAATCTTCTAAACATTTGCGACTCAGAGAGCACTTTGTCGAGGCGAATAATTAATTTTCTAAAAGCGAAGAAGACAGGACCTCTTGAGTATGAAAATAAATAATAAATGATAAACGACCGCATCTACGATATCATATCTCTTGAGAGAGAAAACAAAAGTAAAACTGTCGCCGACAGTATTTGAAAAGACATGAGAAGGAGAAGATGGAGACGATATGAGAAATACTAATGAATATTAATTTGCAGGCCGAAAGCGGACTGCATGGTCCTTCTGCTCAAAAGGTCCAAAAAAGGCGTTTGCAGTGAAGAAGACAACAGCCTATGAAAATGCTCAATTAATTGTGAGGAGGAATTCATGAATCATGAAGAATCCCGCCCCATTCCCCTTCCTTTGAAGTAGATGTAGAAGACTCATGGCAGTCGCAATTCGTAGTTCGAGCATGCCAATAGCTACCGACAAGTTGGGAACTAAGCTGATCGCCACTCTACCGCCTATGCCCTCTTGACGGTCGCAAGTCTTTACTAAACTACTTGAAAAGTAGAATTTAAAATCGTCCCTATTTGACGAGCATTTTGATTAAGTGATTTGCAAAACACCTAAAAGAAAACACATTTGAGGAATAATGAGGACTTCTTTTGTGTACTTCTCTAAAATGTAAATAAACACGTATTTAATCCGTAATAGTAGAACGCGGAGAGATCTTGGCTTCATCAAAGTGGACTCATTACAAAGCATTTGATGGACGGTTCGCGATTCGTGCTAAGGTGTTGACATGAGTGCATGATGTATTACAGCTATGCCATGGTTTACCTATCTCCTCATTGTACTTGGGCTTTTGAACTCACACTTTGAGGCTCAAGAAGCCGAAGTTATGAGACAAAGGGCTTGATTGACTTACGTGAGTATAAACTTCCTTAGACGGTGCGGAATCACGACCTGATTATTCGATCACCACTTCGAAATGTTTCATGTTTGATTGATGAAGGGGTCTGCTAGCGTGAGAAGAGACTTTGTGGTGACTTTCGTGACTTTTCAAATGTAATACATATCTTCATATCTCTCCTAGGGTCTACAGCAGCACGGAAAGGGTGTGCATTCCAGAAGTAGTAACTCGTTCGACCAATCAGGTGCCGCCAGTCTCGACCAATCTCGCCCAGCCTCACCCCACGTGTTCGTTTCGAGGAAGCGAGTTAGTTCAACTCAGTCACTATTGTTTTCACCTTCCACTTAGTCCTAATTATTCGAACTTAATTATAGATTCGTTCCAACTGATAGTGTTCCACAGTTTCCAATAGCATTGAGAAAATCCTCTTCTCAAATTTGAAGAATTTTGATTGGTCTACCAATTTTGCTGCAGTTCTTTTTGATTTGTCATAATGTACATCCTTCAAGAGAAGATTATTGAAGAGAATGTTTGTTACCTTAAGTCTTAGGTGCAAAGTTGAAGCACTAAACAACTTGATATCATTCATGATAATTTTATCTGTCGCAGCTAATTACAGCATTAAGGTCTACGACCCAGGAAATGTTCTTGTTAAATGCAATTGTAAGCTGGAACAATTATTGGTGTTTTATGATCACACACATAAACAGGTTTAAATAAGGGATCTATAAATTCTTTGACATTTACACATTGTCGGAAACCTGGTCGCGTTTATTCTCCAACACCACCATCGATTTCACTCCCAATCTGGTTAAGCCTATAACTTCGCCAACGAAAAAAGAGACGTAAAGTTGAAGTAGAATGAATGCGGTCAATACTAGAAAAGACGTGAGGCTACCAGTTTGGTCCAAATATCGGTACATCCGTCAAGGCCAAAATGACGGAAATAATTAACCAAGCAGTAAGTTACCCAGTCTCCTCTTTTAGCCCGTACTCGGTGTTCCACTTGACTAATCTACCGTCTCCTTCTCTCCTTACTTCCCTGGTGCTGCAAAGAAGCGCTCACAAGTCAGATTTACAAATGAGGAGAAGCTTTACTGCAACGGCATTGATCTCTCCTGGAGGTTCCGTTGGATCTAAAGCCTTATCCTACGTGGACATTGAGTTGATAAAACGAAGGGATGTGCTGTTAGTCACGAGCGTTTCCAAGAACATCGACAAAAAGGCAAATTTAAAGAGCGGAGTGTAAAATATGTCACAGTTTCGTCTATCTCATTTGCCACATTTTAGTTCTCGTCAGTCATATCTGTCTGAAAGAGATATCGTTTGCTCACTACCTTGACAATCGCAGAGAGATACCTGTAGCAGATCTGCAAAAACTCTTTCAAAGGGTCCATGGTCGAGTTGTGGCTTCATTTCCAATCACATGTTCGAGGTGGTTGGGATTACTCCATCTACGAGGCTATTTGTATTCCATATCTTTCGATTCAGCAATCAAGAATGTAAACTGCAGGAGCTATCGGCAGTGCGTTGTTCCAAGGCTCTCCTGAAGACGGCAGAATTTTCATTAGGCTCTGGCTATGTCTAAAGTGCCTTATCTCTGCTGAATATTACAATGTAGAAAATTTCAAACTCCAAAAAGGAAATGCTCTTTGTCAAATTGGTAAATTGCGTCCCAACGTGGCAGTTTCGATTTTTTTTTTGTTTTGTGTAAACTGCTGCATTCCATTTGATTAAGCATTTAATAGCAATACTA